TAAGAGAGACATCTAGATACAGGAGCTTCAGCAGAGGAATGTATCAAATGGAATCTCCAGGATGATCATCAGGAGACATCCCATGACAGCAAGTGAGTACAAGTCCTAGAGTACAACCTGTCCTGACTGGAGCAGACAAGGAGGCACTGAGAGAGACAGCCAGAATGCCAGATGCCAGATGTTTCAATGTACAGAAAGGAGATTTACAGCAATGGAAAAAGAGCCTGGGAAAGACTTAGTTTTAAGTATGTAAGACAATAACAACAAAAAACCATTAAGCAAAACAAGAACTCTGGAGAAATAAAAATGTTAAAATGCATTAGTTATGGTTCAGCTGCAAATAATGTTTCTGTAGTCAGAGTAAGATAAACAACCATAACTATATTGGGGGAAGAAGAAAAAGGAAAGTATGTGTTTTGTGATTGGGAAGAAGGAGTAAGAAAAGAGGGTGGTGAAGTGAAATCCTTATCTTCTACTTAGGGAAGTTAAGAGATAACATTTGGGAACCTCCACCTCCAGCCATGATTTAATAACTGGTATTGGACTAGGCCTCCCACTTGAAACATCTAAAAACCTGGACAATACATATGAAACAGTTGTTTGGAAATTGGGAAACAGGTTGCCCAGAACTATAAGAAAGCCCTACAACACCAGCTTTTTGCCAGGAAACATTTACTTGACCCCAGTACAAGAAAGGGAAACCCAAGCAAAGCACAAAAGTTTCAATGAGCTCAGGAGAAACGCGCAGAATTCAAGGAGACTGAGGCAGCTAGAATTTGCAAAATACTAGAAAGAAAGTAGCTGCCCACTTTAGAGAGCTATAGCTTTCTCTGGGCCAGGCCAGGATTGGTGTGCAGGATAGCAGGAAGCACTGTGTCTGGGAATGAGCTCTAGATCAGGATGGCCAAGAGAGTCTAGAAGCAATGAGATCTCAGTAGCAATGAACACATTTAGCACCCAGATCTTGGTTCTCAGTACCATTTTCCACTTAAAGGAACATGGTTCCTTAGAGAAGTGGCTGAACATAAGGCTGGGAAATGAAAAATAAAAGATGAGCCTGGAACATCTTGTTTCACCTGAAAGTGCTCAAAGAATGACAGGAATATTAAAACAAAACAAAACAAAACAAGGGTCAGTTTAAAGGGGTTCCCTTCAAAGCCCAAGTCTGGGATAATTTTAGTATATAACACTTAAAACATAATAAAATTATTTAGGATATAATGAATTATAATCTTCTAAGTAAAATATGAACCCATGAGTCCATTCCGGCATAAATGAATGAATGAATAAATTGGGGAAAAAGGAAAGCACCCTATGTTGGAGGAATTTTTTTAAAAATCACCATTTAGAAATTATCACGATGGTAATACAGTCAAGAATCATCAATAAATGTAAAATCTGGTAGATAAAAGTTTAATGAGAAACTGCACATTTACATAGTCTCGAAGAACCTTCTGAAAAATATCTCTTCATACTTATTAATTTTATAGGGAAGAAATTGAGAGATATCATATAAACCAGGTGATAAAAGTTGACATCACCAGTAATGAGACAAATTGACATGTATGCTTCCTGATATGATGCACTGAGAAGAATGCAGCATCACTTCCATGGTATTCCTGCCAAAAACGTATAAACCATAATGAAAACCAGAACACCAAAGTAACTGCCTTATGCTCTTAAAAATAAATGTCAAAGATATGAAAGACAAGAAATGATTGAGGAACTATTCCAGATTAAAGGAGACAAAGAAACATGACAATTAAATTCAACACAAATCCTGGATTGGCTCCTAAACCTACAGAGTACATTACTGTGATAATCAGCAAAATTTTAATGGGATCTGTAGATTAGATGGTAATACAGATCAATTGCAATTTCCTGATTCTGAGAATCATATTGTAGTTATGTAGGAGAGTATCCACTTGTTTTGAGGAAATACACACAGAAGTATTAAAGGATAAAAGGGCATCATGTCTACAATTTATTTTCAAACAGTTTAGAAATACTAACTGAATCTGGGTAATCTGGGGAAGGATGTATGGGAGCTCTGTGTATTATTTCTGTAACTTCTTTGAAAATGTACAATTATTTCAAAATAAAAAAATTTTAAAATGTTTCAAAGCATTCCTATCACTTCAGGTAGGCAATAATTCATTAGTGAAAAGTTTTTAAATGGATTGTTCATTTCTGAATTCATCTCCAAACCCAGTTAATCTACAAGGAGTCCTTATATCTATTTTAAAATAAGTACTTCTTCCTCTTTTAATATATGCCAGGAACTACATGAGGCCCCCAAGGAAAAAAGAAGGAGTGGTAACAAAAAGAGAAATAACTCACACCTCTTCATCAGTAACTTTATAATTTAGTATAGTAGGGAATGAATATAAGAAAGACTACCAGCATCCTCCGTTAAATATTTATCTTACAGAAATTAACTTGCACATGTCTACAATCACATAGCCTTATTTTTAAAAATAAAGTTACAGTCATCTCTTGGTATCTGTGGGGGACTGGTTCCGGGACTCCACCCCACCACCATACCAGAACCTTGAGGTTCTCAAGTCCCTTGACATACAATGCCTAAAATAGTGTAGTATTTGCATATAATCTGCACAATTCTCCCAGATACTTTAAATCATTTCTAGATTACTTATAATACCTAATACAACATAAATGCTATCTATGTAAATAGCTATTAAACTGTATTTTTAAAATTATTATTTTTTAATGTCGTGCTATTTATTTTTCAATCATCTTCTACCTGCATTTTATTGAATCCATTGATGCAGAACCAGTGGATATGGAGGCAAACTGTACTTTGAAATGATTTTTTTCCTTAAAAATTGTATACCCCTCTTCTTCCCTCCCCTTCCCTCCCTTCCTTTCCCTTCCCTTCCTTTTCTTTTCTTGAGACAGCTCTTGCTATGCCGCCCAGGCAAGAGTGCAGTGGCTATTCAGGTGCAATCATAGCACATTGCAGCCTCAAACTCCTAGGCTCAAGCCATCCTCCTGCTTTTGCTTCCTGAGTGGCTGGGACTACAGGCGCACGACACTGTGCCCAGCTGCTGTTCTCGTGGTCTGTTTTTCTATTCACTAACTCAGTACTACTGTTGCTCAATATTCCTTTGATTGTAATAGAGCCACATCAGGGTTACTGTCAATTTCTCTTCCAATGTAATCAGCAACTACCCATCTTCATTTGTCTTGTACCTATCCCTGCTCTATATGACATCACAAAGATTATGGCCTGTCTTGACAACTCTGAAATTCTTTAAATTCATTTTAAAAATCTAATCCCAACAGGCCTCTAATTCTCTCTGTCACATTGCTCATTCTTTTGATAAAGAATACTTAAACCAAACAAGACCTCAGTAGTTCTGTTTCTTCTCTGAAATTCTTACTTCAAACCAATTTTAAAATCCTTTTTGGTTGATCTTGAAATGCTCCAAAAGAGCATCATTCTTCATGCATAGCTTACTATTCATATATATCCTTCCTTCTAACTGCTCTTTTAGCCTCTGAGCTCAGAGAACTATCTAGCCAGGCAAACGAAGTTTTTAAAGACAACTCTTTCCTTCTCATTGAGGTTATTAGATATAAATATATTTTTACAAATATCTTTTAGATGTATTGTTTGCTGTATAAGTCTCTCATTCTGAAAGTCACAATCACATTTATAGTCTTGGTTATGGATCATGTTTATCTTTGCTCTGCTCTTTCCCAAATCTTTCTTGAAGTCAACAGAATGTGTCCGATAAGTCTCAGCATTCTCTTTACTTCCTTTTTCATTAATGATTCCTTGTTATTCACAATTAAGAGTAGACACTCTGCTTCCAGAATCACTTAGACATTTGAAGTCCTGCATAATTTTATCTCTTTGTAAATTTTGTAGGCTGAACTAGCAAAGCATGTCTTCCAAACTATTCTGCAAATCTGTAATATACTCCCATTAGCAATGACTTCTTTTAAGTTTGATTCCTACTCAAATAACTCAACTATTGTAGACAACCCTTAGGGTTGTACATTTCTGTAAATGTTCTTTCTTTTCCTCATTCCTTTTGATAGAGTCATTTTAAAAATAAAGTATATGATCTACTCCAAAAACAAAATCCACCTAAAATTCACGGATCATATTTACAGTCACAATCTGAATTCTTTCAGAAATCTCTGCCTTTATATAGATTAAGGAATATGAATGTGGAAAGTTAATATATAAATAGCAAATGAGAGGTATGAGAACCAAAAATTATAGTATCTAGAATTACTGAAAAAGACTTTCCTTTTTTTGTTTATTTGGCCTTTTTAAACTCAAGAAGTCTTATGAAAAAGAATTAGAAGGATTTACAATAAGAACTGTATACCAATTATGAAAAAAATAAAAGAAGTTTCCTCTGACTGAATAAATTAGCTAAAATTATGTGGATGTCCTCCAACATGCCATTAAATAGTCCACCTATAGATAAACTTAAAAAAAGAATGCAGGTGTAGGCCCAAGTAACAAGTAATTAATCACGGGTACTTTGACATATGCCTGCAGGAGCCAATGCCAGAAAACATAGGCTCCTGTAAAGTCTTTTTAAAAAATCAGATGGAATATATAGGGACAGTACAAAATTGACACTCATTACTGACTACCAAATCAAGCCATTGTAACTATTACATTATGTTTTAAAACTAACGGCAACTCATCTAGATGCTGATGATAATAATTCAACAACTTAGTAGCAACTGCCAGAGTGGCTTGCCAAAGTTTCCTGTAATAGTTTTTATTTTCTTGCTTTGCTAAAATGCAAATATTCTTGATTTATAAATTGCTTAAACAAAATGATTTTTTTCTAGTAAAATATCTTAAAAGGAACACTGTCATTAAGTCAACTCAACTTTATAGGGCAATCAATTAATTTAAATAAATACAATAAGTATCAACAGCCCTGTTTATCATAGAGACTTCCACATTTACCATTTCTCTCCCCAGGACAAATTAAAACAGTTCTTACCTAATTCATAGAGATGCCCATCTACATGAACTAATGCAATAAAATGAAGATCTACTTTTTCATCTATACTTGGTGCCTGGAATAGGAAGGAAAAATATATATTATGTAGTAGTAGTCAAACAAATCAATCAACTGTATATAAATACATACAAATAACACCAAATGATATAAGAGAACATTTACTCACTATAATTCAAAACTTAATCTTTGATATAGTAGACAAAGAGTGACCATGCCTATGTTTGGTGACAATGTGCTCACTCACCAACAAGGAAAACACTGACTAAAAGCACATCTCTCTAAATCTCAACTGATCTAAAAACCAAAAGTCTCATCTACCTTGGAAGCCTCAGCACTTAGCACAATGCCTGGTACACAGCATATGCATAAAGCATACTTATTGAGCAAAATAAATGCATTAACTTATCTGTATAATTTTAAAAATTTGCAAAAAGCTAGTTAAAACATTTTTAATAATGCATAAGCAGTTTTTAAAAACTTCCTTTCAAGTTAAATTTTAAGACATCAAGAAAGTTGTTCCTTTAATGATTTGAACTTGATAATCTCATGTTTTGAACAACGCAGTGTAAGCAGTCTTTGAGTGAAATAAGTACCTTAACTCACTCTAGATTTTAAAAGTTTAAAAATGAATAGATGCAGGAAAATAACCCAGAAGATTAAAAGGGGTGGGGAAGGATAAGAACAATTTTTCTTCTTTTTTTGGGTTGGAGTCTCACTCTGTCACTCAGACTGGAGTGCAGTGGCCGCTCTCGGCCACTGCAGCCTCGACCTGCTGGGCTCCGGCGATCCTTCCGCCTCAGCCTTCTGAGTAGCCGGAATTACAGGCATGTGCTACCACACCCGGCTGATTTTTTGATTTATTGTAGAGATGAGGTCTCACTGCCCAGGCGAGTCTCGAACCCACGGGCTCAGGCAATCCACTCACCTCAGCCTCCTAAAGGAGCGGGATTACAGTCTGAGCCACCGAGCCCGGCAGATAAGAACAATTTAAAGTACAATTCATTACAGCCTGTGATTTATCTCTGCTTTTACTTTTAATAAACAGCTTAAAATTGAAACTAGATCTAGGTTTACTTAGCTTATCACATTCAGTTTGCATGAGCAATACGTACATTTCTTAGACATCCAAATAACTTATGCAATGTCAATACACTGATGAATTGGCACTGTCTGTAATATGCAGAAACCATGCAGCCAACAATAATAGGTGCTAGCTATATATAAAATCTAAATAGTCTGAAACGAAAAACAGTCACTTAAATACAAGTAGAACACAAATTTTAGAGACAAACATTTTCAATCATATCTCATTTTACTTACTGTCCTTTCAGGAAGACACATAGATAGCATCTTAACTCAAAAAATTATACCTATGGAATGCCAAAAAAATGTATATACACATTTTAAGCATAATGTTCGCAAATGTATATACATTTTTTGTCACCCCCTGTATTTTCACCCTCAAGTGATTACATATTTTCAGGCGGTTGTAATACAAAGTTTTCTGATGCAGATACTGAAGGGCACAGAATAAACATTACTATCTTGGATTTACAGAAAACTTCTAAAACATTTATAGAACACAGTGACTCATCTAATTTCATATTACTCTTCATAATTTCCCTAAAATTATGAATGGAAGAAACTCAACATATACTGATGTGGCAAACTAGCTCTTCCTAACCTCAATCTAGAACCACAGAATTCCACACTTGGCAGGAACCTCCAATACTGAACTCTTCTCTACCACAGCGCCATCTTGTGGTAGCCTTTCTAATTACAGGGGACCTCCTCTAGGTTTTGAGGCAATCCATTCCCTTGAGGGAGTTTTGTTAGAACTTTCCCTCATACTGAGCCCACGGGTTCGAGACCAGCCTGAGCAACTTGACAAGACCTTGTCTCTACAATAAATCAAAAAAAAAAAAAAATTTAGCCATCTCTTTGTTTTTTCCACCATTTTAGGAAAAAAATCTAATCCCTCCTGAACATATTTCCTCAAATACTTAAAGAAAGTTATAATGATTCCCTTATGTTCTTGGTTAGGGAATCAGAAAACATTAGTGATCTGAATCCAATACCTTCATTTTATCAATGACTAGAAGAGAATTCAATTTTTCAAGGCTAAACCTAGGCAATTCTGCATACTATAACTTTAATTCTATAACAAAAATGCAGTAAAGAATTCTTCGTTCAACTGGGAAATAGTTTCGTTTTACTCATTTTTAAGGCCATTTTCCAACAGGATATCAAATATTTTAAATCTTTTGAGCTTTATGTTTTCATAAATTATCAACTGCTTTAACACCATCTCTTCTTAAGAATTACACATCTTATAGCTTCTATTTTTCATATTTTGCCAGTAAATACAATCATGCTAGAGGTAAAAGTAATACCACTGGAATCAGAGAACTGAATATGTACCCAATACCAGTAAGCGTTGGCTTCTTATCCATTTTGAGGTTTAAGTGAGATGTATGAAGGTAATTTGTTAGTGCTATGTAAACTTTACATATTATTATTTTGAGTTGGTGGTCTCACTCTCACCTAGGCTGGAGTTCAGTGGCATGATCACAGTTCACAGCAGCCTTGACATGCTGGGCTCAGGTGATTCCTCCACCTCAGCATTTTTTTTTTTTTTTTTGAGTTGGAGTCTCACTCTGTTGCCCAGGCTAGAGTGCGGTGACACGCTCCCCGCCACTGCAGTCTCTACCTGGGTTCAGGCAATCCTTCTGCCTCAGCCTTCCAAGTAGCCAGAACTACAGGTGTGTGCTACCATGCCTGGCTAATTTTTTTTTATTTATTTATTGTAGAGACGAGGTCTCATCAAGTTGTCCAGGCGGGTTTCGAACCCGTGGGCTCAGGCAATCCACTCACCTTGGCCTCCCAAAGTGCTGGGATTACAAACTGAGCTACCAAGCCTGGCCTCACCTCAGCATTTTGAGTAGCTGGGACTAGAGGTACGTGCCACTATGCTGAGCTAAATTTTTTTCTTTTTTTTTAGTTTTTTTGTAGAGACAAGATTTTACCATGTTTCCCAGGCTGGTCTCAAACTCATGCCTCAGCCTCCCAAAGTGCTGGGACTACAGGTGTGAGCCACCACACCCAGCCTATGTATCATTATAATAATAATACTCTACTAACACAAATGTAAGCAATGACCAAATCTAGTGACTCAAAATTGTGTGTCACTGTACCATTAAAAGTGCATACTAAAAATACAAAAGAGAGTATGAAAAGTCTTCAAACTATTATAAAAGAGAAGTAAATCTCAAAATTTTTAACCCTTCCACAAAACCTCAGTACCTTTTATAAGCCTTTTCCTTTGGTCAATATCAATTACTCTGAGAGTCTTCAATCTGTTAATTATTCAATTTTACTTGAAAATTATTCCACTAAAAACAAGCACAACAAATAAAAAGCAAATTCCAGCAAGTCTTCTGTTCCAAAAAATAACAAACTAATAACTACACAAAGGTCAAAATACAGAGGCAATGGATTGGATCTTTTTGCTTATATTTTTATATTTTTTTAATTCCTTAATTTAGAATATAACACTTAGTTATCTCAATGAATTAAAAAGTGGTATAATAAATCAATGAGAAATTGCATATTAAATATAAATTTCAGATTATCAAAATACATATTAAATTAAATGTATAATTACATGACACTTAATATATACCAGGCACTGTTCTAAGTGTTTTATATGTATCGAACAATTAATTGTCATACAAGTTGAACATCCCAATTCAAAAACCCTAAGTCCAAAATGCTCCAAAATCTAAAAATTTTGAGCGCCAACCTCATACTCAAAGAAATGCTCACTGAACCATTTCAGATTTTCAGGTTTGGGGTACTCAACCAGTAAGTATAATGCAAATATCCCAAAAAATACCTCTGGTTCCAAGCCTTTTAGATGAAGGATATGCACCTTGTATAAACCCAATAAGGTAGGTAAGATGAATATATCCATCTTACTCTCAAGAAAACTGAGGCACAGAGGCATTAGGTAATATGCTCTAGGTCATATAGGTAGTAATGATGGAATCTGGATTCAAACCCAGGCGGTGTGGTTCCAGAATCCATGCTCTTAACCACTATGCCATGAACATATTTAAAGCTATAAGGCAATGGAATTAATATGGAGCAAAGATCAACATATAAAGACATATAAAACTGAAAATGCCAAATTTTATGACACTCATTTATATTTAGAGTATTTTTTAAATAGAAAGGAAATTATTCATGTTTAGAATTGAATCAATTGTGCCAGGTCAGAATTCACAAATTTAGGCTTTTTCCCTGGACATCTAATTCACCTTCTATCTCTCACTGTGCCAAACAGTGCATAGCACAGTAGGGAGACAACAAATATCAAATGGATGAATGGAAAAAAAAATGATAAATGAATGTTGTGACCCAATGAGAATAATGAAATGGGGGGGGGGAAGAGAGAGAGAGAGACAGAGAGAGAGAGAGAGAGAGAAAGAGAGAGAGAGAGAGAGAGAGAGAGACAGACAGACCAGTTTGTTGATATTTGGCACAAATGGATGGCTATGCTGATATCTGGTGAAAGCAAATGTTTAAGGAAAGACTCCACTTCACAGTTTGGATATAACTCTAGAAGGTTAAATAAGGAGAAGTAAAGAATGTTTGACAATGACTATTAATTGCTTTTAAGTATTAAATGTATGCATAATTAGACTTCCTCTGGCTTAAAAGTCATGATGATTTACAGAAATGTCAAGTTTCTTAAAAATGTGTGGCACACATCAAAGCTTTTAGATACTGCATTTCCAGGTATGCTATGCCAAACAGTCATGCCTTTCATAGTCTAAAACATCACAAAGACAAGAACTGTAGTTGTTTAATCCTGCAACTTATTTCAATTATGGGAACTAGAATTGTATTGTCAACCTCAACATTTAAGATAATTAGCAAGATTATATGAAAAATATACTTTTTAATAGTTTGCAAATATTATTAGCCTATGAAAGAGAAATCATAAAATTTGTGGGAAGCCTACATCAATACAGAAGGAGAAAATCTTCATCT